GGATACACAAAGGCGGCATTTATAACACACGCACACTCACGCGTGGGGCATCAGTCAGCCCAAAGAAGGAAGGAAATCCTGTGGCCTGCTCCCACACGGATGGGCCCTCAGGACGTCATGCCGAGCAAAGTGAGCCAGTCACAAAAGGACAAATCCCGGATGAGGCCACTCATCTGAGGCACCTTGAGTCCTCTGTGAATTAAGACAGGAAGTAGATGGCAGTTGCCAGAGGGTGGGGGGTGGGGTCGGGGACGGGGACTGAGTGTTTAATGGGGCCCGAGTTTCCCTTTGGGAAGAGGAGAGGGCTCCGGGGACGCACAGCGGGGACGCGCACCAGACTGGGATGCACTTAGTGCCCCTGAGCTGTGCACTTAAAAAGGGTCCGGATAGTAAATTTTATGTTACGTGTATTTCCGCACAGTTTGTAAGTGTTTTTAAATGCCCCCATAAAAAGGCAGCCGCGTGCGCAGGGGAGAAGCCCCACAGGCCTCGATCCATCCGCCCCTGGCAGAGGGCGCAGAGCGGCCCAGTGCCCCCGCCCCCAGGAGAAGGACTCCTGGGTGGAAAGAGGGTCCAGAGCAAATGCAGAGTCTCAGGCTCATGCATCCGGGTCTTTACCAGGCACCCACTCTGGAGCCACCCAGGTCCAGACACGGAGTCAGAGGGCCCCCCCCCAGCCCCACCACCCAGCCCTTCCATGCTCGCAGCACTGGGTAAAGGGAGTCCGCCCTCACACTGGGTAAAGGGTGTCCGCCTTGTACAGGGGCCACCGCCTCCTCGGAGTGGTCAGCGATCATGTCAGGGACGGGCAAGTTCAATGACTTCAAGGGTGGGTTTAATTATATGTTGGCGCTGACTAGCAGTGGCTACGATGGTACAATTACACATGTAATTTATCAGCAAGACATTTGCATACATAATAAACCAAAAGCAAAACATGAAATCTCGCTGAATGCTGAAACCATAAAATTGGGCCACAACGTGGGGTGGTGTCACTGGCCAGGAGGCGGAGGAACCTCCGGAGGCCCGCCCCTCACTGGTCCCGCCCACTGTGGCCACGTGGCCGGCTCCAGGGAACACGCTCCGAACCACTAGTCAGTCCAGAGCCCCTGCGGTGTGTCCACGGGAGCCTCCACGGGGGGGAGGGCGGGGAAGCTGACGCGGGAAGCTCACCGCCCTCCCGTCACCGCCCTCCCGGTGTCTCCGAACTTGCCGACCACAGTCCCCAGGGTGCCCGCCCTGGCCAGGCCCTGGGGCTCTGAACCCTGCCCTGCTTCTGAGGGGAGAAGGCTAATGACCTAAAAATGGCCTGTACTTTCCTTCACCTTGAATGAACAGGGAGAACAAAGCAGGCCAAACAGCGAACACGAGGACCCTGGTGAGGACGGCAGCGCACAGGCGCGATGCCCACCGTGAGCCAGGTGTCGTTTTACGAGCGCAGGACAGACGGTGGAAGCTTCCACGTTGACCTTGCCATCATCCCCAGTTTACAGACCAGGAGACTGAGGTGCAGCGAGGCCCTCGGCCCACGGTCGGGGGGTGGGGGGGAGGAGGCCAGGTTCCCAACCCGGGAAGTCTGGCTCCGAGTCCGTCCCTTTGCCAGGGGCGGCCAGGCCCGCCGTGCGTTCACTCCTCACGTCTCTGTTACTTTCTTACTGGTGCTGGTCCCATGGCCACTGTGCGATCACGTAAAAGTCCACGCTGGGGTGACGCTCTGTCCTCAATGCTGGAAGGAAGTTCCCACCTGGGGACCCCCGGGGCTGAGCTTCAGCCATCCCAAAGACCTCAAGCACGGCCAGCCTGTGAGGTGCACGGGACACGCAGAGTCTCGCCCAGGACACAGACCACCAGGCCTGTGCACAGGAAGTCTCCGGAGCCTCACGGACCCCTGCCCGCATCCCCCGGGAGCGGCTCCTTCTCCTCCCTGCCACACAGCCTCAGCCTCGGCCGTCTGTGCACGTGCCCCCGTGGCTTCAAAGGCCACCGTCACCACAAGGCTGCCGCCCGGTGTCAGCCGAAGAGATGGCCTGGTGCAGTCCTAGATACATTTTTTTCTGTTGTACAGGCTGGATTAAAGTGAAGAGATTGATGAGAATATATTTCTATAACTGACCATCTTGATGGGGAAAAAATGATTGGGAGGTAAGAGTGATGAAATGATAAAAAGAGATTTCATTTGGGCCACTGGGCCTACTGGTCTAAGGTTCTGTTAAGGCTTAAGATAGAGTCCCGCCCATCCACCCATCTACCTGCTCATCCACCCAGCCAACCATCGACCGATCTACCACACACCCACCCACCCATCCACCATCCATCCATCCAACCACCTACCCATCCTCCAATCCACCCTTCCAGTCACCAAAGTTTCACCAAAGTTTCACCGAGAACCTCCTATGAATCTGGCCCTATTTCGGGAATTAGGAAAATAACACTGAACGAAACAGAGAAGGCCCCACTCCCTCCAGGTCTGCGACCCAGCAGGGGAGACAGACCGGAAGGCAGCACAGGCCTAAGTCTCCAAAACGCGTCCTGCATCCGCCTGCAGCGCACACGAAACCCTCCGCAGAGGGAGGCGCATCACCGTCATCGCCTCTGTTGCCGTCATCAGGGGTCAGTTGTAAAAGCAAACGAGAGCACCTCCGACGGGGGTGCTACGGGGACCGAGACGCGGTCCAACACGGCGGAAGCGCTGAGGGCACACCCTGCAGACGACACTTTCACGACAAAAGTTTTATTTCCCATCCACTCTCACCTTGATTTAAATATACAGACGGATGTGGGTGCACATGTATCAGGATTCAAGCACTTCCATATAAACTTTGTATTCAAAATACTTCTCTGATTTCGGTTGATGGCCTGTTCGGAGCCAATGTGTAGAAATAATCTTTGTTCTGAATCACAAACAAGGGTCTCTCTCTCTCCTCTCCCCGCCCCTCCAGCCTGATGAAGCCGGAGTGTGGCACCTGCCCTCGGAGCCGAGGGGGGGGGGGGCAGGGCGGGGCGGGTCCTCCGGGCCTGTCTCCTGCCGGGGCTGAGAAGCGGCCACCTGGCAGAGGCACCGGAGAGAAGGACGACCCTCCCCACCTCGAGTGGAGTGTGTAATCGTTTGAATACATCTCGCCTGCACGCCAATAATGTCATCCTTGGTTGACACAGATTTTAAAGCCCTTTGAAAAGGTGGAATGTTATCAATCACGAGGTGATTATAATGGGTTTTAAGTAGAGAAGATAAGACTCGGCCCTCACTGGGGCCGGTGCCGCGCGACAGCTCGGGGTGAAGGTGGGGGAGAAGGAAGAGGCTTCATTTCACCGAGAACAGGGTGCAGCGGGAGGGCCTTGCCCTCATGTCCTCTCTCCCACAGCAGATGTCCCCAGAAGCCCTTGACCCTGGGGTTCCCCACACCCAAAATATCTTCTGTGTGCCCATCACAGGCCACTGGTGTTTCTCGGAGGGGTGACTGTGGCCCCCAGGCAACAGGCAGTCATTTCTGGGGACATGTTTGGTTGTTACAGCGGGGACAGGAGACACAGCCAGCGTCTTGTGGGCCGAGGCCAGGGTGGCAGCTGAACATCAGCCCGCATCCCAGAACCAGCCTGCCCGACGCGGCCACAGTGGGACGCGGAGAAGCCTGAGACCCGCGGGGGCGGCGGGGGGAGCACGTGTCACAGAGGCCCCTTCCCAGAGAGGGGTCCGAGCTGCTTCCACTGGCTCCGAGGCCCCTCGAGGCCACCGGCTGACCAGGGCAGGTGCCAGAGTATAAAACAGGGCCAAGAAGAAAGGAACCTTCAAGCCCAGTCACTCACTCTTGTGCCTTTTGATCTGAAACGCATCTCATCGTGTGTCAGGAGGGACCGGGGACCGGGCCGCACGGCAGCGCCAGCACCGATCTGGCCGCGCGTGGGCCCAGTGCCGCCCTGCCTGGTCCCCGGCCCCTCACGTCACGCTCGCCCACCCAGACCACGCACGTGCCCGGATCGCCGAGGCCAAGAATGGCGAATTTCATTAAATATGTTAAAGGGGAGGAAATCAGCTTTGAAAAATAGTAATCCTGTCTTTCAACAAAAATATTATAGGAAGCTATGAATTTGGGAGATCCGAATAGGATGTTGGTGCGTGTTTTACTAAGGTAATAGAACAGCACACTATTATTAGATCGCATTAATCACGGCAGTGCCAACGGCACTGACAGGCCCGCTGAAAAGGATTGAAAGGCCTGGTAATGGATATAAATTACCCATTGTGTGATAAAAGGATTTTTACTAAGAAGGTAAGAATAAAACAGCAAATTTCTAATAGAACTGTTGTGTAAAAACCCAAATAGGAGTAATCCGTGGTCAGTAGTACCCGCCGAATCACGAGCAAGCCCTTCCTTAATCAGACGGAGTCACAGTACAGGAAACACACTCAGCTCGCGCTGAGATCAGTGTCGGAGCGCGTAGTTCTGCCGGCCGCCCCCCGGTGCACATCCGGACCCCTGAGGCCCAAGGCCAGGAGAAGGTGGGCTGGCTGGGCAGGACTGAGGGGGCGCTTACCGTGACATGGGGGAGCCCAGACAGCTGCTGGCCCCTCCGTGTGAGATTTAAGTTTTTATCGGCTCCAATGCCCCGAAAATCCTCCATCGTGGAGTCTGAATCCCAAGGCTGATGGAGGTGCCCACCGCACTTGGACCAGGCCACGGAGCCTCGTAGTGAGCCGTGGCGAAACCGGCCCCTGGCAACAGCCCACCAGCTCTCGTCCAATGTCGGCTGCTGGGCAGCGACTCTCACAAATGTCACATGAGACAAATAGGAGCCAACCCACCCACCTGTGAACGTGGCCCGATCACCCCGCCCAGAGCCCTGGGCTGGACCCCAGAGACCTTGAAGCTCCTCCACAGCCCCCCCCCGTCCACGGAGGGACAGTGGGTGGCAGGGGGAACACCACGCCCACCAGACGGGGCACCTGGCTCCCCACAAACTCCCACACAGACACCCCCTGGCGACAAAGTGGCACTCCTTACCGGGCCCGTCTCAGCGCCGCGAGGCTCCGCCCTGGCTGGAGGGTGCTCTTGACACCGCGAGAAGCAGGAGCTGCAAAAACGAGACCTGTTAGAATGCTCCCCGCGGACACGGCCGTGTCTGCCGGACGGAGAAGCAGCACCGTCCAAGCCGACAGTGTGCTGGGCTAGTTCAGGTCTGATGCCACCTACCAGCTACCCACCCCCGGCCCCAGTCACCGGGCAGTGTGAAAACAGGGACTGTGCGGTGGTGGCCACCACGCAGCCGACCTGCTCAGGTTCTTTAGATGGCGAGTTGCCACCTGCAGACGGGGGAGGGGCACCGGCCGCCCCCGTGGCCCCAGACGAGACATCCTCACTTTTCCCCAATAAACCACCCCCCACAGCTCCGTCAGGGACAACCCCCCTCTCCTAGACCAGGAAGGCAGCAGTATCAGATAATGGCCCTGAGGGAAGCCAACACGCCACTCAGGGTGGTCGCGCCATCGGCTGGGGTCCCCCAGGCCCAGGCCCAGGCCAGCCCACAGCAGTTTCAAATCTGCACTGTCATCCTGGGTCACAGAAGGGCTTTCCTGGGACATGCCAGAGTCCCCTCCTCAGAGGCAATATTTCCCTGGCCCTGATGCTGTGCATTGTGACATTATAGAGGCAGAATTCGGGGACATGTCTGCAAAGGGGAAATCCGGAGAAGCATTCCGCACGCCCTCGGCGGCTGCTGTGGCCCCCGGAACTGGACAGCAGAGCCCTGGCCTGCCACACGCCGTCCCGCTACGAGACTGGTTCCCGGCCACCAGAGAGGAGCTTGTGAATGAGACCCTCCGAGTATGACAGCAACCTGCCTACAGACCAATCGCTCCCCGAGGGTCTGGCGACATCAAGCAAAAGGTCACACCTCGACCACCTGGGACAGAAGTCACAAGCCCCCTCCCCGCCCTCCTCAACCAGATTATCTTTCCCGTTTTGATTTCTCTGCATCGTTTAACATTGAAACTTCGCAAGTGTGCAAAGCCACGCACCCCCTCGTCTGTCCCAGCCCAGAGACTCCACACAGACTCTTTAAGTTGGGGGGCAGGGGGTGGGGGCGGACAAGAAGCTCCACCAGGTCCAAAGATGGGTGCCACGGGGGCCTCGTCTGGGGAAGCCCTGCACCCACTCGTCCCCAGGCTTCCCACCAGGACGAGAAGGCCACTGTCCCTTGCCACCTGAGTGCAGGGCAGTGTGGGGGCCCCGCCGGCCTCAGTCCTCTGAGGCCCCCACCAGCTCCAGGGTTGTGCCTCTCTCGGGCTCTCCTGACCGCCTGGGTTCACTGGGAGGCGGCTGGCCCAGCTGCAGGGGAGCGCACCTGCTGGGTGGCCCAGAGCCCACGTTCAGAGTGTGGGACCCCGGGAGAGCAGGTGCGGTGGGGGCTGCACACTGGCTTTCCGACCGGTTCAGACAGGAGGGGCGCTGGCGTCTGCCTCCGTCACAGCCCCGCAGGTGGGCAAAGGCGCCTGCGTCCACCCGCTGCGGCTCCTGGTCAGGACGGGGAGGCAGGAGAGGGCCAGCGCGGTGACTCTGTCACCCTCAGTGACAAAAACAGCTCCTTCGGTGCGAGGGACTCGCACTCAGAGATAAAGCTGTGTCATAGCCAGAAGCAGGTGTCTGACATGACATCTCGCCTGGTTCCTGTCTCCCCTGGGCTCCCCTGCTGAGGGGACAGGGAGGGGCCCCCCAGGAGACATTGTCCAGTCTGGTGCCAGCACCAGGAGATCAGAGAGGGGGTGGGAGGGGCCAATGACAAAGGTGCAAAAAGCCCAGCGTGAGTGGGGGTAGCAGCCACCCCACCAAAGGAATCCCCTCCGTCCCTCTGTGAACCGGTGACCACTCCCCTTCCCCTGTCAGGCCCGGGGTGGATGCCCCTGCGTCACCCTCAGCCCCAGGCCCTGAGTGAAGGGGTTTAGGAGACCCATTTGTTCATCCCTACTTGGTCTCTCATCCCTACTGTGCACCGGGCCCTGTGGCCGAGCAAGGGCAGGAACCTAGTAGGTCTCACTGTGTGAAGAGTCTGGTGGGACAGGGAGCCAGGCGGCGGCACGTGGCCGGTGGGCGTGGGGCAGGGAGGCCCAGGAGCAAGGGCAGGTTCCGAGATGGAGGCCAGGGGAGGGCACGGTTCAGAGGGACCCTGGCGTGGGAGAGGCGTGGGAGAAGCCCGTCTTGGGAGAAGTGCAGGGTGGCTATGACGTGGAGAAGGTGGGGGGCCAGAGGGAGCTGGGGGAAAGGGCGGGCAGAAGCCCCCTGCCTGAGGCACCTCCAGGCCCCTCTGATGGGGGTTATGGGGGGCTGCAGAGCTGTGGCAGGGGCTTTGAGGGGGTGTGGGGAGGAGAGAAAGACCCAGAGGACAGACAAGAAATGGAAGTGGGAGGTGGTCCAGGCAGCTCTGGCCACCCCGGCACGAGTGGGCCCACTCTGCGGCATCCCTGTGGACACAGGGGAGGCCACGTGGGCCCCACGAGGAGACCGGGGTTCCCCCCACACACGTTGTCTCGGGGGACTGGCATGAGGGCTCTGAGCAGAGACCTCCCCTGGGCAGGAGCCCGGCCTCCCCACCTCCAGCTCCGGGAGAAGGGGACCAGCGTGTCAAGAGATGAGCCCCGAGTTTAATGCCACGGCCCTTCCTCTGGGCCCACGTGGAGAAGGGCTGGGCCACCCACCCGCCGGACCCCACCCTCCGGCCTCGGGCCTGGAGCTCAGTAGGTGCTGGGGAGGTGAGAGGAAGGCGGGAAGGAGAAGGAAGGAAGGGAAGGTGGGAAGACGAGGCAGAAGGAGAAGCCAGGGGCAGGGGGGGCTGGGAAGAACGAAGGACCGTGGGTTCCATGCAGCCTCCCGGCCCACGTTCTGCCCCAGAGGCGTCCCCAGGGGAGGGCAGGCAGAGGACTGAGGACAACGGTCTCCGGGGCCACTCAGGGGCCCGGCAGCCAGAGCGGGGCTGCCGGACAGATGCTTTCCTTCCAGGAAGCAGGAGGAAGGAAGGGACGGAGCAGCCGGACACCTCAGCCAGCCCCCGGCCCAGGGAAGGGTGTGCCCCCAGGTGACACACCTGGGGACAAGACTCGGCCGCGTGACCAGCACCTCTGAACCCTGCCCGCTGGTGTCCAGAGTGCCACGCAGGCGGGGACTCCAGCCCATTCTCCAAGGGGGCACAGCACCCCCTTCCTGGGCTCTGGGCACCCCCAGCTCAGCCCACCAGAGACCGGGACCCTGCCACCCCGCCGGGGCTCCTCGCGTCAGACCAGAAGTTCTGTTCCAAAGCACTGAGTGACCCTCGCTGTCTCCGGGGACTCAGAGGGGTAAACACAGCCCCAGATGGCACCGTCAACGTCCCTGCACACTCCGGGGAGAGAGGACACCTGCGGGGGGAAGTGGCGGGGAAGAGCAGGCATCAGAGACCACCTCCCCTCAGCCTCACCCGGCAGGTGCCCCCTGCTCCTTCCAGGGTCTGGGCACCCGGTGGCACACACCGCCTGCACCTGTGGGGGTGGAGCAGCTTCACAGGGAAGACAACGAAAAGGAAAATGTAGTCCGAGACAGTAATAAGCCCTAAAAACAGCCAGGGAAGGACGGACCATGAGCAACGGAGGCTCCTTCAGGTGAGGCAATCAGGGGAGACCCAAGACCTCTGGCCAGAGGCCAGAACGAAGCGCACAAAGCCGGGCAGGGCTTCAGGAGTAGAGCAGATGGCAGGGGCAAAGGCCCTGGGGCAGGAAGAAGGTGGTGCGTTTGAGAAGCAGCACAATATTCCATGGGACCAGCTCAGGGCGGTGAGTGGGAACAGGCGACCGTGGCCTCCCTGGGACCCACGGCCTCGCCAGGCACCGCGTGGGACCTGGATTTCGCTCCGAGCCACTGGCCTGGAGGTGGTACCTGAGCGCCCGGAGCCTTTCCCCTGCAGACCCGCCGATCCACGGCAGTGCCCGGCCACCTGGGCACTGCCCCCTCATCCCTCCAGGGCCAGACCCCTGACAGCCGGAGACAGCCCCTGAGCCCAGAGCCTGTCCGAATTGCCCAGACTGGCTGATCCCAGGCCCGCTCACCCGCCTGGTCTGCCCTTCCCTCCAAAGCTCCAGCCCAGTGCACCTCCCTGATCAGCACCCCTCCGCCCCAACCGGCCCTGGGGCCTCCCCGGCCACCCAGCGGGGCCTGGTGCCCCCCCTAGGGACTGTAACAGCCATGTTCCCACTGGCCACTGTCCCCAATGGGCCGGCCTCCCCACCTGCCTGCTCTCGGGGCCACCTCGGAACCACTCCCTCCCTCCTGGGGCACAAGTCACACCCGCTGAGAAGCGGTGGCCCAGCGGCCAGCGTCAAGGGCCACTGAAGGTCAAAGCAGAGAAGGAGCTCAAAGGCAGCCAGTCCTTTCCCGAACCCCACCCGCCCACCCCACGGAGTCCCACAAACGTGGGGCACAAGCCGGATGCATGTGTGTGTGCGCACATACGTGTTGGGACACTCGGACACGGTACAACGCAGTGGGCATGGGGCTGCCCAGACATGCTGCCCAGGGACGCCTCCCCTGTCGTTTTAAAACAAAGGTGACTCTGGTGGCGAGGCTACCTGATACCTGCTTTTGGGGGACGCACAGACGGCAGGGGCGCGAGAACCTGAGCCCCACGCTCCCGGCCAGGTGCAGGGGCCCGGGAGCGCGTGGCGGCTTCCCCGGCCCGGCCGCCCCCCCACACGTGTGTTTTTGCATGCTTGAGCGTGACAAACAGCCAAGCTGCTCGGAGCCAATCACATTACGTCCCTGTCTCTTTAATAAACAAACCCATGTGCACATTAACAGTGTTGAAAATTCAATTTAAACTCTTTGTCTGCTGCTGCTTACTCTGAAGATGGTCTTCCTTAAACACCAGAACACCAAGGAGTCGTTAGTGTTCTCTCTTCATTACTTCAAAAAACCAATCATTAGACACCAGAGTATATACGTAATTAGAAAATCACTTCCTTTGCAATCCAAGCTAAGTAGTTTACATACTGTAATTACAGGGACAAAATCAATTTTTAATCATTTCCCTGATTGGGCTCATCAGCTCTGTGG